GCATGTATGTATGTGCCTGTGCATGTATATGTGTGTCCATGTGTATGTGTTTATGTGCCTGTATATATATGAGTGTGTGCATATGCGTATATGTATGTATGTTTCTGTGTGTATGTGTCTGTGTGTGCTTATGTCCATGTGTCTATGGGTAAGTCCTTAAACTCAATAAATAGCGTTTAGTCTGAGCCTCCAAGTGCTGGAATCATAGGCATAAGCCAGAGCAGCAGGGGAAATGTCCCTTTATGCTACTTTTCAGCATATTGGTTTCCCACAATGGACAATGACCACCTCCATGCCCAGGAACCTGCATACTTTTTTTTTTAATCTAAGCTCTCTCTCCTCATAGTGTTAGTAAGAATTTACTATCACTACGCAATGTTTACACTGGCCTGTGGTCATTTATTATTGCACTCTTATGCAAACATATCTACATTTGAGTCATGTAACACACCTAATTCATCTTCTTACTCAGCTACCATGAACTTTGTATTTGTCTTTTGGTCACATTGTTCCACTGAGTCATTTTCTAAGACCATGTAAGTTTATTTATTTCATGTCACTTACACATATTGAGTACATTTTCTCTGATAAAGTTGAGGCACATTGAGAACTAGTTTTAGTTATCTTATTTCTTGAAAGATGTTTATGATAAGCTGTAGCACTAACCCTAATTGGTCTTAATAAAAACCTGGAGCCAGATATCAGGGTAAATGCTGTAAAATTAGAGAGACAAAATGAACAAGCCACAGCCACCTCTCACCTCACCAACTCCTCAGCCGAAAGGGGACAGAGCTACTGTTTTCTCTCGCCTTGCATTCCTTTCTCCTCCCAGCCACACCACTTCCTGTCTCAACCTTCCTAGTGCTGGGATTAAAGGCGTGTATGCCTCCTAAGTAGGAGGAGCAAAGGTGTGTGCCACCATTGCCTGGCTCTCTTTCTGTTTTAGACTGGATCAATCTTGTGTATGCTAGGATGACCTTGAACTCACAGAGATCCATCCACCTCTGCCTTCTGAGTGCTAGATTAGAGGTGTGTGCCACCACTACCTGGCCCCTATGGCTAATTAATGGCTTACCTCTGCACTCTGATCTTCAGGCAAGCTTTATTTGTTAAAGCATACACAAAATATCACCACAGTAAGCAATTTTCACCTTCTGTTCTGAAAGACTTTTTGAGGGATCTACCAGTCTGCTCCCAGTTGTCACTCTAAGACATTCTCACTACTAACTTGATTCCTAGGCTTGCTTTTCTTTCTCATTTTGTTGACTTGTGGCCTCAACAACTTCCCAAGGAAGGAAACATTGGATATAAAACTGAGGGAACTTACATGTCTAGATATATCTTCACAATATCCACACCTAGTTCTGAGGTTGGTAGATGCATCTAGAAGTGTCTCTATAATATCCATACTTAAGTACTGGGTTGGAAGATTTGTCTAGACATGTCTCCACAATACCCACACTCAGTTCTGGAGTTGGTAAATGTATAATTCTAAGTCAGAAATCATTATTTTTCTTTTACAATCTAAAGCACTGCCAATTCTTTCTTTTGGTTGCCAGTGATGCTGAGAAGTCCATTGCTACTCTATTTCTGGAATCTTCCTAGGAGAGCTTCCTTGTTTTTCCTCTTTTGGAAGATTTTGGAATGCTTTCCTTATTTCCAGTGCTCTGAATAGTGGCAACTATGTCTTGGAATTGGGGTCTCTGCATGAGGCGCAGGCATCTCTACAGGTCAGAGAGATTCCTCCAGGTAGCTCAGTGGGCCAATCTCGCCCCTCAGCAGTTAGTCACTGCTTCTGTAACCTTGGTGAGAGACCCTGTGAATCTTTTGCATTTCTGCTTTCACAGACATGTGAAGTGTCCTTATTTCCCAAGTCTCATGAGTCTTGGAAGGGATATTTTAACACTGAAGAAATTGCTACACAAAGGGGGAAGGAGAGAACTGACTCCATAAGCTGTTCTCTGACTTCCAAACACTCACCACCTATATACATATATCACACACACACACACACACACACACACACACACACACACACATACATGTGCACACACACACACATCATATATCACACACATGTGCACACACACACTCTTTTTCTTTTTTTTATTTTTTTATAATTTTATAATTTAATTTAATTTTACATATCAGCCATGGATTCCCGTGTTTTCCCCCCTCCCGTCCCCCCACGCCCACCCTCCCCCCAGCCCATCCCCCATTCACATCTTCTCCAGGGCAAAGACTCCCCTGAGGATTGAGCTCAACCTGGCAGATTCAGTCCAGGCAGGTCCAGTCCCCTCCTCCCAGGCCGAGCCAAGGGTCCCTGTATAGGCACCAGGTTTCAAACAGCCAACTCATGCACTGAGTACAGGACCTGGTGCCACCACCTGGATGCCTCCCAAACAGAGAATTCTCAACAGAGGAAACTCAAATGGCTGAAAGACATTTAAGGAATTGCTCAACATCCCTAATTATCAGGGAAATGCAAATCAAAATGACTCTGAGATACCACCTTATGCCTGTCAGAATGGCTAAGAAAAAAAAACACTGAAGACACCTTGTGCTGGAGAGGATGTGGAGCTAGGGGAACTCTCCTCCACTGCTGGTGGGAATGCAAGCTGGTACAACCACTTTGGAAATCAATATGGCACTTTCTTAGAAAATTGGGAATCCATCTCCCCCAAGATCTAGCTATACCACTCTTGGGCATATACCCAAGGAATGCTCAATCATACCACAAGGGCACTTGCTCAGCTATGTTCATGTCAGCATTGTTTGTAATAGCCAGAACCTGGAAACAACCTAGATGCCCTTCAACTGAAGAATGGATAAATAAAATGTGGTACATATACACAATGGAATACTACTCAGCAGAGAAAAACAGTGACATCATGAGGTTTGCAGGCAAATGGATGGATCTAGAAAAAATCATCCTGAGTGAGGTAACCCAGACTCAGAAAGACAAACATGGTATGTACTCACTCATAGGAGGATACTAGATGTAAAACAAAGATGACTAGACTGCTACTCACAACTCCAGGTAGGCTACCTAGAAAACAGGACCCCAAGAAAGACACAGGGATCGCCCAATGACAGAGAAATGGATGAGATCTACATGAACAACATGGGGATAATGAAGGGCAAGGGTCAAGGGAAAGAGAGCTTAGGGGAGCGGGAGATCCTAGCTCTTTTTCTTTTAATTATAAGAGAGACATCATGTGTGTCTAGATGCTGTTACTCCTAGATGACATCCTATGTCACATAAAAATCCCAGTACCAGGCATGGCATATCTTCTTATTGGTCAGTAAGGCCCAACGAACTGCTCACCACCTAAACAATATAGACTCTTCCTATCCATCTTGACGACCACCAGAACTACATGATAAGAACTTCTCACTGAAGATAACACACACTTGGGCTGTAAAATACAGAAAAGTGAAACTGGATGTGCACTTGAAGTGTCCTCCCTGCTCTGGCTAACTTTCATAGTGCCAAAAAGTATAGTGCAGACTACTCAGGGACAAAAGCCATCAAAAGTATAATCTGTTTGTGAACCTTATGAACCGCAATGTCAACTTTCTAGGGAAGATGAGCTCACTGGTACAACAGTGGGATAATTGTTGCAAGGGTAACCAACCACTCCTTGGTTGAATTTGAGGCTTGTTTCACAGGAGGAAATGTGTGTTTGATAAAATAAATCCAGCTAAAAGTCTATGACTGGGGAGGTTATAAGCCTTAGGAAGGAGCTTACTACTATTGCTTAACCAAAATGAAATGGTGACATACTACTTTCTAAAACTTATATTTCTATTCAGACAAATACTATCTCAGCTTTAAACACAGAACCTCCCCTTGGCAGTGAATAATGGTGGGTGTAGTTTCATAGCTGCTCAAGGCATTGAGAATAAAAAAGTGGTGACTGAATGCTCAGTTCTACATAGGACATTAATGCTATCCCTTCTACTGCTCAGGACACTATAGTAGAGGTGGTGGAAAGAATGTAAGTGCAAGAAGACAAGGAGAAAGACTTTGAAGTTGTTCATGGAATCTCATAGTCTTTTCAATTGTAATATCAGAGTAGCTATGGTTTCCTGCACTTGACATGCATGAGACTGAGCCTACCAATGGTCAACTATGGATCAAGGGAGGACTTATGACCCCACCTTCCGAAATGCTATTAATAGATTCTAAGAGAGGGACAGGCATTGTTTTCAGTTGTGTACCCAATGGTGAACCCATCAGGGTCAGGGATAGTTTCAAAACCATGGTCAACACAGACAACCTTGATTAAAATCAGCAGGTCACAAAACAAAGGGATACAAAAACAAACAAACAAACAAACAAACAAACACCATCTTCACTTTTAAATGCACGATTTAAAGAGCTCTATCTTTGTTCAGGGTTAAGTTAGCCTCCCTTCCCATCATTTCTTAGCTGTCTTCCAAGCACTTGCTTCTTCACGTTTGTTTTGGTGGAGGGGCACCATCAACACCTGGTGATGCTTTTCTGCCCATATACGACATTCAGAAGCAGACTGGAAAACTGTGGACAAACTAGTCTCTTCAACTCTAAGTGCTAATGTAGGATGATCTGCCTGGGGTACTTCCTTGGGAGAACTTCCTCTGTTCTTTATTACTATGTTATGTATTTTTAAAGTTCATTATTTATTTTTTGAGAAGGGGTGGTGCTGAGTCATATTCCACAGAAAAAGTCTTCTAGTTTTTTTTTTTTACATTGGCGACCTGGATGTCTCCTGGAAATATAGTGCAAGCAGATGGAGAAAAAGACCAGGGCTTGAAATTTTTTGTTTGGATAATTTTCCTTTTCCTCATCCTTCTTTTACTATGGTAGTTCTACCATGGTGGGGGATTCAGCGGAGACTTAGCATTCCTTGTAACAAACCTTACCTTTACAGTGAGGTAAGACAGGCTATCTGAGGCTCTAACTGCTCTTTATACATACCTTCAGCCTTGTTGTTTATTTTTAATCCCATCCTCACCTGTCTTCAAAGATGCTCACTGTTGCCGGTTTCTGAGTCTTCTGGAAGATTCAGAGGCATGAAAGGACTTGCTTCCCTTGTTTTCATGCTGTTGGCCGAGTCCCCACTGTTGTGCTAAATCAGTCTCTTCTCCTCTGTTGGCATCCTGGTTTCCATAGCCACGCAGTAGCAAGGCTATTGCATCTTCTGCTTTGCTTGTCCTTGTAACTTTATGCCTTCAAAGTAACCCTTTATTGTTGTCTCAGTTGGCTTTCAGGAGTGAGCAGAGACTTGCATGCCTTGTGTGTTATTTGACCTGGGAGACCAAGTATGCATTTTTCCTTACTATTGAATTCAAATGACAAAGTCCCTTAGAACAGTCTCTGTTTTCACGTTTCTCTCCTAAGATATCAGCCTCTTATGAATTACTACTTTCTTGTTCCTTTCAGCTTTGTGCCTTATAGCATTCTTATTTCGTTAACATCTTCTCTGGCCTCAGACCAGACAATTAACATGGAACCCGCCTTCATTTATCACATACATTTTGTTCCAGAGGTCTCTACAGCTGCTGAGTGCTGGTGACAGGGACCATATTTCAAAGCCAGCTGAAAGGAAAAACGTGGTTGGATTGTGGTTTCTGTTAATTCATTTTGCACAATTGGAGAGCAACTGCTCATTTGAAGACATTCAGTTTTCTTGGTTTATGTTCTTGGGTTTAAAAAGAAGAGTACACAATTAAAACTGGCCTAGGTATTTACTGAGTCACAACACTGAAAGGCGGGAGTCAAGGTTCAGATGGTTTAGAATTTCCCCCACTATGGTTATTTCATTTTTATGTTCTGCACAATTATTTTCAGGAGCCTTAATACTGTGGTCTCTTAGGATTCAGTCCAGCCAAGAGAATATGCTTTTAGTTCCCAGCTAGAGCATGGATGCCAGTTCTGACTGGCCCAGATTGGAGTATATGCCTTCCTTGTCCCATATCTGGTGAATTAAGCCTGAGTCACCTGTACTGCCCTCCTGTAACTGCCTCTGGCCTATCACTGCTCTAAAATGCAGCCTAGGGCCTTTGTGGTGCCTTCTTGCCAGAGTTGACTGAACCAGCTATGACTGCCAGCCCCAGGAGGACTTCATGAGGTAACTTCTCTCTGTTTGAAAATGGAATGAGCATATAGAACAACAGAGTAAGACATTTCAGGAGGTGAGCTGGGAAAAGTATGAGACCCTTGGACTGACATAGCATTTTGTGTCTATCAGATCAGTGCTATCAAGTTAAAAATAATGAGTCTCCAGGGAGATGAAGCAAACAGACACATGTCAACAGAGTAACCACAGGCAGAGAGGGGAACAGTCCAGAACAGGGACAAAAAGGTAATTGTTGCATCTGATGATTTTTCAGACAATTGTTTATGTGACTCATATGTGTTTTTCACTTAGGTGTCCGCATATATGCAGCAGATTTGAATTCGTTTTTCTGAATGAATTGTGACATGATAGATTCCTAAAACAAAAACACAAAGGTGAAAATAATGATAACATTTTAACATATGATCTGTAAATATATACCATGGAGTAAAATATGTTATATGTCAATATGTTTTAAGAGTAACTATAAGATCTCATACAATACACTAATTTAATTCTTGTCATTATTTATGTATGCTAGACATTGTAAGAATGTTTTAAATCTTTCCAACAATGCTACATAATATTTTTATAGTTCCTGTGTCAAAATACAGTGACATTAATAAACTTTCCCATGGTCAAAATTAGCAAAGTAGCAAAAACTTTTAAAAAAAATTCAATTAATTATGTTTCCTGTGAGTTTGTATGTTTGTGTGGTACATGCACACATGACTGGAAAGTGTCCTGCTGTATCACTCTCTGCCTTATTGTCATGAGATGGAGTCTTTCACTGATACTGGGAGCTGGGTTGGTGGCCAGCAAGCTCTAGTGATCTTCCTGTGTTTATTCCCTACTGTGGCCCACAGCACTGGGTACAGGCAACGATGCTCTGTCTTTACATGGATGCTGGGGATTTAAACTCAGGGTTGAGCAGGAGTAAATGCTCTTATTCACTGGTTCTGATATATCTTCAGCCCCAAAGCTGAGTTTTGAATTGAGATAATCTATTTCCAGGGCAGAACACTTAGTGTCAGTGTACCACTAACCTCAAGAATGGCAGACTTGCACATTGATATTCACCACACGTTAGAAACAGGCTCACTTAATCTCATTTGACTATCCTAATGTACACAGACTGGTAGAATCGAACTTCTATTAAGATAAGAAGGCCGAATTTTAAAGCACTTAGGCAGTTTTCCCAAGCTATTCAGCACTGTATGACAGAACTGGGAGTTTGGTCGTCTTTTTCTCTTTCCTCAACTGTGCCATCATCATACTAGGTTGATATCACTATCTCATACCACTTCTAGCACTTTTGTCAGTATTAGAGATGAGTTCAGATGGATGTATATTTGATTATTATCTGTTTGACAAAACTAAGCAAGTAGAAACCAATGCAAAAATCATAGAACATAATTAGATCCCCCCACCGTGTGTGTGTGTGTGTGTGTGTGTGTGTGTGTGTGTGTGTGTGTGTGTGTGTGTGTGTGTGTGTGTGTTTCTGTGGGTTGCAGATATGCTTGTCTGTATGTAGAAACTAGAGGTAAATTTTATCTGTCTTCCCTCAACTATTATCTACCTTGTTTTCTGAGATAGCACTTTTCACTGGTCTGGGGTTTCCCAAGTAGGATAGGGTGGCTGGCCAGCAAGTCCCTGGGATCCACCTATCTTTGGTATCCCCCAGAGCAGGAATTGCAAGCATATCCGACAACACCCAACCCTTGCAGGTGGGTTATAAGGATTGAATTCATGTCTTCCAGCTTGCAGAGTGACAGCACTGACTTATTAATTTTCCTAGCACCTGCACATTTTAAAGAAGTGGTTGTATCTGACTTGGGCAGAAGAACAGAATTAGGAAAAAGGCTGTGTGGATGGTGATATGGGGGGTCAATGTGAGAGCTTTCCTGGCTTCAGGGGCCTTAATGTCAGGAAGAGAGATGCTAACACCCCAGAAGCATCCATACTGCTCAAATTAGACCTCAGTGAGAGTCAGAGTGGAGGGCTTGTGTGAATGAGCCTCTGTGTCAGACAGGTCTGAGGCCTGGTTTTACCACTTCTTAGTTGTGGGACTCTTTGTATTTTAACCAGCTAAACTTTATTTTTCTCATAAAACAGAGTGCTGTGGATATTGCTCTGTATAAATAAAGTGCTGATTGGCCAGTAGCCAGGCAGGAAGTATAGGTGGGACAAAGAGAGAGGAGAATGCTGGGAACAGGAAGACTTAGTCAGGAGATGCTGCTAGCCGCCACCATGACAAGCAACATGTAAAGATACCAGTAAGCCAAGAGCCACATGGCAAGGTATAGATTAATAGAAATGTGTTAATTTAAGATATAAGAACTAGATAGCAAGAAGCCTGCCATGGCCATACAGTTTATAAGTAATATAAGCTTCTGAGTGATTATTTTATAAGTAGGCTGCAGAACTGCAGTGTCTTGGCAGGACCCAGAGAGAAAATTTCCAACTACAATAGAGATTTAGAAAAGATATGTTGAGCTCCACAGAACTGCTGAGTGGATTATATGTGGTAATAGAATCTGATGCTCAAAACTGTGTGCAGAATTTAGAAGGAGGCAATAGGTGTTAGCTTTTATTAACGATTATTTAGAAAAACAATAAGAATCTTGTGACTCTTTAGAATCCCATTCTGTGCATCTTATCTAGACAACAGACTCCAGCCCATATAAGGGCTCTCCTCTCCATCTACTGTTCACACACTGTCTACTTGTATCCTCAGAAGTATCTTAGCCCCAAGTTCTCTGCTTTGACCTTTCCTTAATAAGGTAATTTTATTCTTTGACATTAGCCTTTGGTGGTTTTGAAACTTCATCTGAAATGAAAATTTGATTGCACCCATTAACAACATCTCAGGTCCTAAATCATCTTTGAGCAATCATATACCCAGGAACCTTACTGATTACTTCTGAGCCTTGTGGAAGTTTAGCACATGGCTAATGGTGGACAGACAAGACTCTTACTTTTCAGACCCATTCTGTAGATGAGAAGAAGAGTGTGGCAAAATATTTTTATTCCTGAGCATATATATTATGCTCCGAGGCAAAGTCTGCCTTTCCTGTAAAAGTGAAGGGGGTATCCTCTGAGGCAGGAGGTAGTCATGTTGGGAAATATGAGCCTGAGACAGAGAGCATTTAGAATCATTGTCCCTGGAATCAAAGTGTTCTGTGGGTGTACTGTATAAGAGCACTGAATGGCTGAGAGTGTGTGCTCTCAGTCTTTTTCTTGACATCTTCTGTTTTCTGTCTTTTATATTTGGATTCAGCATAAGTATTTTGAAAAAACCAATCGAAGTTAATTGATAAGCCAGATGTTATGACGCTTACAAAACCCTTCACTATGCCATATTTTTAAGTTGGGGAAATTGAGGTCAGGAAGATAAAATAAGCCATTTTTACTTCATGCTGTGAATATGAACTGAGCATCTCCTGTATGCCAGGCATCAGTATTCTGCTAAATTCTGTAGACAGAATATGCATTGAACACAGAACAGTCTCAGGAAAGCACCATCTTAGGGAAGCACTGATGACCTTGTCTATTCCATCTGGACAATAGGATTCTACCTCTCAATGTAAATCCTTTTTCTGGCTGCCTTTCTTGCATCTTTCTTAAAAATAGCTACTGTGTCTTTGGGTTATTTTGGTTTACATAATTTTTGGTCATTTTTTCCATATTATTTTGGTTCACTATTCTTTTCTCTAGTTTCTAAGAGAAGGCATTGCTGATTAGAGGTGGGACTAATAGTTCTAAAGATTTGAGTGGCACAAAAAATCTGAATTTAAAGGTTTATATTGTATGAGTGCATGTGCTTGTGTGTGTGTGTGTGTGTGTGTGTGTGTGTGTGTGTGTGTGTGTGTGTGTATGAGTGTATGCATACATGTACATGTGGGTGCCTGTGGAGACCAGGAAAAGTCATTGGATCATTTGAAGCTTTGTGTGTTTGAACTACCTGCACACCAAGGGTGCTA